GACAGCGTACGTTGTTATTCACTGAACTCTATTATCTCTTGCCACGATACCTGCACTTACAAGAACTTGAGTTGTACGTTACGTCTTGTGAGTGGCTGGTAGTGAGGAGGAAAAAACAGAATTGCGTTGGAGGGACATGACGAGGTAAAACAATAGAAATGTGTTGGTGGTGCGAGTTAAACAATGGTCTTGTTGGGTTGATGGCGATGTAGGTGAAACAATGGAAACTAGACGCCGAAAGGCGTTCTCAGGGCTGCCCTTGACGTAGACTGATATATTGTAAACGCATTTTTATCAACCATACCGATAGACGGGCCTCATTCAACTGATTACACTATGTCTATTGCAACCTTGTCAATTTTAAAGATCACCCGCATTTTGAATTCATCGGCTCGTTCTCTAACCAATCAAAGAATATAGATTAAAAGGTCAATAACAGTAGTGTTGTCCCAGCATTTTCCGCCTGGACAAGTACCAGCTAAGTACCAGCCAATCTGTGGCTCATAACTAAAATGCGCGGGAAACCTGCTTAATTTATGCGAAACATGTTCACGCAAGTACCAGTAATGACCTCACCACACCATAAGGATAGCTCATTAATAAAATGCAAAGGAAACGTCTTAATTCATATGGGTATGCTAAAATGTCAACTTGGCAAAGTAAAACAAAAGGATCACGAAGTATGTTCAGGCAATTACTAGTTTAAATTGAATGTTTTTATTAAAGTTCTTGACTACTAAGTTGCAATGGCTATACGACTGAATTAAAATGTAGTCATTGCATCTGTATATCACCTCTAATATGTGGGGGTACAGATTACATCATATTACCTCTTGAGTCAGTTGTAATGTGTATCGTGCTGTATATTTTGGTTGGTTTAGAAAACAAGAGAAGTTCTCTCAAACATCAGCTGGTTTGTAAAATGCGTAAGACAATTAGAAAATGAAAAAAAAGTTAACTTTCACAACAAACACAAAGTTCACAAAGAAATTAATTTTAGAGTTATTTAATAAAAGGGTCATCTAACAGAACCTTCTTCTGCAATGAAAATTATGGCATCTAACAATCTGGATGGGAGTGGGGGGTGAGGTCTCTTTGAACTTAAAAATACTGAGGAGAGGGGGGGGCTCCTCAATAAGTTTTGGAAATCAGGGTGTAATAAGGGGTAAAAATATTGTGGCTTCCATTGCGTGGAAGGGGGGGCGGGGGCGGAAGGGATGTCAATTTTTCTGGAATAACTAATCCAACCAACCCAGACTGCTGGCTAACGTTACACATCTTTTTACCACGACTTACTGAATTATTCACCATAAGTTAACTCATGGCTGCACGAAGAAAATCAGATAAAAAAATTACGGTTCTGAAAGGCAAAGCACATAATAAAACTTACGGCTTATGTAGTCGCACATTTTTTAGCTTCTTTCTCAACTTTCACAACTCTCCTTCATTTTATTTTATTACTTCATCGCGCTTTCAAAACAAGAACACAAACATGACGTCGGGTTGTTGGGTAGAGCTATAGTGGCATTAAGGACCACCTCGAATAGATTGCGAACAGCAGACGTATTTTCGGTCGTCGAGAAGTGCCGGTTCAACTTCAAGTCTTTAAATTAAATAAACAAAAGGTTAATTAAAAAAAAAAGTTGTTGCGCGGTAGTTCTTAGTAACGAGAAAATTTGGTCCTCAGTTAGTGTTTTGCAATTTAGTTTTCAATCAAAGTTTTATAACACCTCTGAGACCTCCTTAAAACTATCTTCACAGACTGTCTTCAGGATACGAACGTAAGTGTTATTAGAAACCAAATTCCCTTCCTGGAAAGGCGTTTGCAGCTGCGATATCGAAATAATTAGGGCCAAGTCGCACTAGAGGGCAATTTTAGATTTGTTCTGGACAAATTCGACTCGAAATCGGCCAGTGACAAAAAATTTGTCCGGAGAGCTATAGTCGCACTTAAGAACAAAATCTGTGAACAAAACAGAACACCATGCTGTGAGCGCCTTGTGATTTCAGCCCACAGTTGAACTAAAAGCTTCTCCTCTTCTTTACTCCATCTGTCCTGAGCCTTCTTGTTCTCAGCTGACGAAGATGCACGGGGCGAAGAAGATGGGGTTGATGCCGGCATTGAGCTATCTTCGCTGAACTGGAGGGATTCTGGCAACGAGTCAGTACTCGTGGTCGAAGGAAATGGGCTGGGATTTCCTCGATCATTAAACATGTAAGGGCCTGGCAAAGGATAGATCCATCCTGGTGGATATTGTGGATATTCGTACAGAAAAAATTGGTCGCCATTGTCAAATCATTTCCGAATTAAAACACACTCGCTATTGTTTTCCAAAATTTGTCTCAATTTGGCCTGCTCCAGAGGTAGTCGACGGTATCTTTGAAGTTCGTCCGTCCGCGACCAAATTTTGTCCTTTGGTGAACAAACCGGTCGCACTTGGTTTTTCATTGTGATGACAGATTTTTGACATAAATAAACAGTTTTGTGCTCTAGTGCGACTTGGCCCCAGGCGGTGTGCGTCACGACCCACGAAGGTTCATGGGTAAAACTGTTACTGTGCCTCATTTCAATGGTGACACAGTCGAGTTCACATCTCGTAAGAGAAGTGAATCAAACCCAGGGATCAAAACACTGCTGCCTTTTCCGAAAATCATTACGGAAGAGAGCGATTTCGAGAATTTTCAAGATCTCATAGTGGCCTTAGATGCTTGCTATTGGCTTCATAAGGCAATTTCAAGAAGTTTATCGCGGTTCGGAGGCGATCGTGCGATCTAGCCGACTTTGAGCGGCGATTAATTTCCTGCTTCTCATAAGATTTTATGTACTGTTTGTTTTATATGTATGTTTTTATCTCATAGTGAAAGAGATCTGTAGTTCATACCTGGATTTGCTTAACTAAAAAAAATTCGTCCATTAGAAGTGTTTATATATTTGATGGACTTTGTTACCGGCAAAGCAGGGGGAGCGCGTGCAAACAGCTAGGTGAGAAATCGTCTCTCATAACAATTTTATTTTCATCGACAACTTTATATTATTTTGAAAACAGTGCCCGTTTGAAATCCTTATGCCCAAATAAATCTTCTATCAGGCAAGGAGAAAACAGACCGAAAGAGCCGAACATACAGCCGCAGAAATAAACGGTAAAATAAACCACGATCTTGTCTGTGCGGTCATTGAAGTGAGCGCAGTATATCGATTTTGTTATAAAGTAAAACCTAACCTCACAGTTTTAAAATCCTGTATGATGTTGTCTGGATCTTCGATAACAGTTTTGTGTTTTGGTAGAGATTTATAACAATTTATTCCCTCACATAACTTTACACGAAGATTTGCATATACGTAGCACACACCGCATGCAAATTATTTTAAAGTCACGCTTTCAGTTTCCGCACTGGGTTATGAAAAATGTTTTGTTTCCAAAGGTTATTACAATATTCAAACTTATTTACCTTTTGTGGTTCAAAATAGAACCAACTCTTCCTGGATTTGGCGTTACTCGCTTCACGTCGGCTTCCGTTTCGGCATGTTTTCTCAGCCCGTTTCCCGGAGGTTGTGCCACTTGGCTGAGACGATGTCTTAATTCCAAAACACTTTCAACGGCTCATAACGGGAAAACTAACTGGGGTAGACGCGGGTAGACCCCGAAATTTGCAAAGAAGAAAGGTTGAAGTAACAAGATGGCCAAAATAATTCGATAAAACCGCTAACAGTAACCAGCTATAAATCCAAGAAGAACGGCAAAAACAACACTCAAATCATCATGGCTGCCTGCACATGACCGAGCAATTCAAACTTGTCACAAAGGCTCAAGAAAGCAAAATATTTAAAAGCAACGCAACTGCTATCAACATAAAGTGTTCCAACAACTTTCCACGGCGGTATAGTGTCCAAATTACCAACACAAGCTTGGAATAAAGCGAAAACTTCACCACATATACCTCTGAAAACAGCTCTTTCCGAGCGCGAAAATCACTCTACAAATGACGCATTCTGATTGGTCGAATCTCGTGACGCACACCGCCTGACTTGGCCCTAAGTAATTTTGGTTACGATCTTCGTTTGTTCAAGTGGTACGTTCGTTCACACTTCTACCTCGAAGTTCGCATAATAATCAGTTTTCTCCAACTCATTAAAACTTGGGTTGAGCTACGCGCCTTGACACCTTTTAATTTCTCTGTTCCAAGTTGAATCAGTTTTAAGCGAATTTTACTCACTTTACTAACTTAAAACTAAAATCTGTTTTGATAAATCTCGGAAAAATTTCACCATTCTGACTAGCGATTTCAATGCAAAATTTTCACAGTAGCAGCCGGAAACAGTTCAATTACGGTTTCTTTTGATCCAATATTTATAAACACTCCTAAACCCCTATTTTTCGCACATGAATGCTATCGCTCTGTCTTAAGCACTCTGTAAGCTAGGATATATTCAGTTTTAGTTCTGGTCAAGCTCGTCACTGCTACACAGAAGAAGATTAGACCAAGTTAAACTGTCAAGTCCTGTTGGTCTATTCCTACAAAATCTGTACCCCCACACTTACACAGGAAAATGCGATTGACGAAATATATATAAAAAAACGACAATGAAAAAAGGAAATCTGGATTTAACTGCTAGCGACATAGCAACAACGTGCCACGCATTCAAACTGCAATATACAAACTACTAGCGTAAGTCGCTTTATTATGTATCTTAGCGGGCAAGATAATCCCATCTGGCCTGCTCAGGATTTTCCGAGTTGGCCCCACGAAAAAAGTCCTCTTTTCGGCCATTATAATGAATCCTTTATTGACCAGCAAGGTTGTTTGCTCAAGATGGTTAGATTTTTTTCCTCGTTCATTGTTGCATTTTTATTAACCTGATCAACTTGGCCAATATTCAGCCATCTTACATATAATGCGCACTCACTTGGGAATAAAGTAATATGAAGAGAACAAATTAGGAAAATTAGCATAACGCGCTCATACAGGAGCTGCTGAAGAATAGGTCTAGTGTACGTGTAAGGTCTGTGTTTTGTAAACCAATAATTGCAACTAAGAATCTAGTGAAGACACCGCCTTTAAAGAGAAATGAGTGAGACATTCGGCAGAAAAAGGTAATGAAACACAAATAAAATATTTAAATTGTTTCTCGCTGTTGCGGACCGTTGCTATCGCCAAATGGCGTATAACAAAACATTGAGAAGACATTGAACAATACCCCCAGCACAACACACAAGCCAACCAACAATGGTTTCCGCTGCAACACCAAGAAACTGCATGCCGAGAAAAAATGAAGGCTATTCAGGAATATAAATCCAGAAAGTATAATTGCTTTTGGAGGTGACCACGCTTGAGTTCTCACAGAAATGGTAGAATTTGCTGCCTTGCAGTTCCCGTTCTCAATAAACATAAAATTTGGCCATTTCACGTCGAAGTTGTGCGTAAGGCTGATAATTTCTACAATAGACAATTGCTCTAGCGCATAAATTACACAAAGCATGTAGAAAGACATTTGTTTAAATTCACCCCAAGGGTAGTTTGCATGGGAGCACGTCTCTTTTGGTTTGCATGAAATAAAAATGTCATTGCATTGCTTTATTTCAGGGCATTCAATTAATCAACCGTCAACTCGTATAAGTGTATCATTACAGAAATAAAATTTAGAAAGGTGGCCAAAACGAAAAAGAAATAATCAATAAATTCCCCAAATTAAACATGTGTAGTCCGCCCGTTTGCCATATTTTATGTATGTGATGTCTAAACTGGGAAATTACGTTCGACGAAATCAGCTCTTTCAGCAAATAATTTGACTTGGAACTTCAAAATATACGAATATGATTTCGACTTCCGCTTGGATTAGGCACTGCCGTAAATGGATCACTGTAAAGTTCACCACTTTTCAGCTAACAAGCACAAGACAAACGTCCAAAGGAGAAACTCAAAGTTAGCTACATTCTACGTATAGTTGATATTGGAGATGTTAAGCATCACGTTTACGTCGAACGGCAAACGCGAATTTGTACCGTGTGACCAAGGTTCCCCTGCTGTTCATTATTTCAACCTGTAAATAAGAATTGTTTTGAGCTGTTTTTATCGGCTCATTTTCTCTTTTGAGAAATTCTCAACTTGAATCTGACGTTTGCCGTATACGGGATACTTAAACTCTATATTGTAGCTATTTAGAAACCCCCAATGACGCTGGGCGAAACGGCTCTCTGAATCAGAGGTTAACTCACTAGTCCTGGTTTAAAATCTTATAAATGCGTTCTGAATGTTACAAGAACCATCGTTTCCAGATGAAACCCGACTTACCGTTCGAAGTAGATTGTGAAAGAGCAACAGATCTCAAGATATATTTTCCGCGTTCAATACCCTGCCTAGTTAGTGTGCTTCACAGCCGTTCCTTTCCCTTTGTGTTTGTGGTCTACCGAACAAACCAGTCATGTATAAGAAACTTAACAATACGTAAGCCGCAGGGCGCTAGGAACGAACACGCTTCTCAGTTTTCGACAAATCAATCAATCGTCGCAGACCCGGAATTTTCATGAGCTCTGTGTCTGCAAGCAACGAAAAGATTGTCTTAAGGAGGGGGGCGTAAGGGGGGTCCGAAAACCGCAAAACCGCACCGAAATACGCCAAAAAACCGCAAACCGCATCGGATTTTTTCCCGAATACCGAAACCGCGCGTACATGTAGGCCGCAATATGAAAGCTGACGTTAGCAAGATTTGGGATATATTCGGATAACATTATGCGTTAGTATTAAACATACCATCATAACGCTAACGATATATTGTACTACACTATTATACTCTATTTACTACTAACCAAATGCCAAGTATGCTGGTCATGTACATTGGGTGACTGATTACTTTGGACGACCCTGTGCTAGTTGTGGAACGCGGAATAAATGTTTCTTCTGGAATTGTGACTTTCTTGTCTCGTAAGGAGTTCACGTTCAGTGGAGAAGACGATTGTTAAAACGTACAGCTCTTCCGTACCGAGTTCTTGCACCTATTAAGAATGTCGCCGAACTTCCAATTTCCCCTTGGAGCAACGTGGAATCTTCTTCAACTTCTTCATCGCTGCTTTCATCAAAATTGCCCCCCTCCTCTTCCTGGTTTACTGCGAAATCGTCTGAAGTATCATCAGACTGCACGTCAAACGCAATGGAGACAGGGTTCTCAAAGATTTCACATTGTCTCTGGTACATAAACTCAGGGAGTGTACCGTGTCGTGCCATAGTGGTCTCTTGGCGTACAGTTCGCTGTCTTACGGCAGCTCCATAGGAGGCGGCCCAGTCCCTAAGTGAATCACAGTCTGCTTGACACATGTTGACGATAGGAAGAGGATTCATCACAGGAACCTGGGACAGCAACAAGGCTCTCTCTGGAGTGGGGTACCATGATCGCCTGCTCGTGTGATAGTACGCTGCCCAGTTGGTTACGCGTTTTACCGGTTCTTTCATAGTAGTTCCGAATGACTTGCAGTACTCTGCCTGGGATAAGTTTGCCTGCTTTACATGTACAGCAGCGTGGCAGTTCTCGACATCAAGCGTCATGCAGCTTAATAGGTTTGTGTGGTCATACATAAATTGTTTCAGGTTAGCATGCAATCTCTGTAGACCTGTCTATCATGGTAACTGGTGCCACTGTCCTGGCAGACACATGCCCCTGCGGTCCATTAAGTGTGGTGTGGATGCCAGTCAACTTTTGAATGTCACGGGTGTTCTCGTCAAGCATCTGTCTGCACTGCCCCACAAGACCAATGGCTTCTGAAGACTTGACCGAGAAATGAGCACCTCTGTCGTGCACGGAAAAGGCTTCGTAGAGACAGCCAATTGCTTTGAGAAAGTGTGCGCGTTCTTGTAGTTTGGTACAGAGTTTGATGGAGTTCGTCTGAGCGTCACAAACATAAACCACACTTGCGAACTCAGAGCAGATGCCTACCGGTTGCTTGAAGCGACAATCTTTGACCGGGCCATCAGTACTCCCTTCTTCTTCGTCAGAGCCTGCAAAAAAACGTAGGTGATTGCCGTTATCACTTAGTTACCATACAGACGCCTTCGTTTGGTTTGTGTACAGGACGTCTTCTCCAAAACTTGTCAGAACGCAGGGCTGATTAGTAAGCTCCACGGCTAATCTGTATTCACAGGTTTCCAGATTGACAGTGCTTATTCCTTGGCCATGTGAAAGGAATAGATTCCCGCTATTAAGGCACATGCTGTTTACCTTCTTCCAGGTGGGCCTGTAAGGAACAATTGCCTGAAAGTTCATACCTTTAACAACAACACCGTCCTTTTCTATTTGGAGGGAGATGATTGATTTATCAATGACTTCAGCTGCATAAATCAAATCACTGTCTACACAAAACATAGCTTCAAAGCTTGGCTGCGTTACTCTATCCCAGAAATGAATTTCGTCATTTCGGACAGTGTGCGTTAAATAATGGTGTTTGACAGCTTCAGAATATTTTTTTAGCCTTGACGTTATCTCTGCAACAGTCCCAGCAGGTGATACGTTCAACGTCGTAGCTAACTGGATTAGATCATCCTTCTTCTTCTTTTCTGTGTTTGTCATGTAAATCGATCCTTCTTTAAATTCGATTACCTTTATTGGACCACTGTCGGAAGCCAGAAATATGATACCTTCGCAGCAATGGATCTCCTTGGCCTTGAGGTTTTTCCCAAGAGTAGTCACTTTGTCAACTGGACTGTGAAGGCGAGCTTTGAACGTGGTAGTACTTACCAAACTGTCTCTCTCAATTTAATGAGGCGCTTCTCATTTTTGTTTACCTTACAACGAAATTTGTTCTTTTTTCTGAAATTCTCCCCTTCCTTTTCTTCTTCATAGAAGATTGCCACGCAATTAATTACTACGTCCTCTTCGCTTTCAGACCTTTCAGTTGCGACCTCAACGACCTCAGTTTCCATTGTCGCGCATTGAATAAAAGCAACGAGAACACGAGGCTGTACGGCTGTACGAGCTAACATCCGGCATGAAATTTCACGAAGTCGACGCATCATTGGCCAAAACGGTTAATCACATTAAGTATTAACTGGAAAAGGCCGTAATTGCAAACCACAGAGTTAAATTGTAAGCTGATATAATGAACCCTGATGCGTTGTAAAACAAAACACTTGGCTCACGCTTGCTAAACAACCGGATGCCGACCGTTCTAAAGAGTGTTATCACCGCAGACACTTTTTTTTTCACCGAAAACCGCGACTTAAAAGTTGTAATAACCGCAAACCGCTTGATGTTTAAAAACCGCAAAACCGCACCAAAAATAACGCAAAACCGCATCACCGCAAACCCTTACGCCCCCCTCCTTAAGCGGTTAACAAAATTCCAAGTGAAAAACAAAAAGGTTTGATAGGCCTACAAGACTCTTACCAGGATCGGTTGGTTCTTTTTAACCTGCATATGTATGATGAATTTCATGTGCCAGATGTGCTCATTATGTGGTTGGACACGCAGGTGAATTAAGAGCGAATGCACAGAAAAATCGAGCAAACCGTGGCCACAGCTCAGAACCTAACCTACCCTCATTTTAAGTCTGTAATAAGGTTTTAATGATTTTATAACACTGCTGAGGTTTAAATTTCAAAATGCGGCCGAGTTTGGGAATTATTTGAGATTTTCGATTTCAACGGTCTGCGGGCCTAAAATTAGCCGCCGAACACGGCAATATAGCCTAGCGACAGAAATGAGCTGACTTTCATAAACGAGCGAATATATGGGCAATCTTCCACTTAAATCTCAAAAAACAGATATCTAACAATTTCTAAACAGCACATTTTTTTAGATGTTGAGAATAAAATATCGCCAACGAGCACAATTTTGAAACGTAATTTGCATAATGCTTATAAATACAACAATTTACCGCTAAAACCAAAATCGAATTTTTTATATGGGGGAATTCTCCAAATCACCCCAAATGCCGGTTACTACCCAATGAGATATAGTACTTCAACATTATCTGAAAGTTAGTCTGGTGTTCTTGCGAACGCTTGTAAAATAGATTGATTATTTTGAGGTTATTTTGCCCCAAACAACCGCTAATTGACCCCAGGGTCAGTTGACACGTCCACGTCACCTTAGTTTTATGAGTCGATTTGAGCTCGTTAAAAGGGAGAAACTAACAAGATTCTTTTTATATGTACCTGTTTTAATGAAATGCATGCAATCTTCAAAAGGAGAGGCCGTTCAATGGGTGATTTCTGTTCTTGAGATCTTGGAGATTGCAGCATGGCGTCTGCGAGCGGACCTGAGTCTAGGTCTGTTTTCCCGTGACTGCGAAATTAGAATAACATCTTGAAATAATTCTCGCTCTAACCTTCGTAAATGAATGAGCTTTGCACTGCCTTACCTGAGATAAAAAGTGGGCCGAATAGGAAAACATTTCTAGCGCAATTTGGATCCTTTGCAGCACGTAGTGTTTTGTTAAGTGGCGATGGTATCAATGACTTTTAACTAGTTACTCACCTCCGATTGCGTGACCAAAAAAATAAGTGCACGGGAAACGAATGCTTTCGGGATACAGTAAATTTATTTTCCTGTATGACCAGCTGTCCTTTTGTCCTATTTGAAAAGTGGTTAACTAAGACGGTTAGCAAACATACCGTCCCACTTTAAAAATGGTACAGTAACTGAATGTTCTGTTTTCTGATTTTACCCCCAACCGCGGACTGTTCAGAAGATATATTTGCAAAACGCATGAAAGGCAAATGAATTAATTTTTAAGGTTCAAGGCGGTTTTGAGGCACGGGCTATCAGTGGATTAGTCATGACTTGTCATAAGGTGCATTGAACAGACAATTGCAGTGATGATATCTCTGCTATTGTATGTCCGTTAAGTGATTTTCCGGCAAACATTATTTTTCGACTTTTTTACCCCAAAAGTTTTTTCCGTTCAAGTCTTATCTATGAGATCTAAACTTAAATAAATTTCTGTCATTTGTTGTTAAATGCAATTCTGCAAACAACTAAGTATTTAATTCTGCGTAAAAGCTACATGAAATTGTCTTGTTTAGCCGTAAATCATTAAAAAGAGAAAGCATCAGACTTTCTCTTTTCAAGTCTAGTAGGACTTGAGCAATGGCATTGCTTAAGTACTCCGGGTAGTTGTTCTCCTTGTCTGCTAAGGAGGAAACAGTTTGCTCTTTTCAAGAAATTGTTCTTGCCCATTGCGGTTTCAAACCAAGGATAGCAGCAGGTCTGTCGTGGTCATATACCGCTACTTCAGTGCAAACGAAGCATAGGCGCACAGGTCAGCGCTTGCGTTTAGTCAGGTGCCGAAAATGAAGTGGAAACTTAACCCCAAGGGCGTCCATGTTCGCTGCGGCTCGAAAAGGTAGAATGCAAGGTAGTAAAGCAGTTGTGCAGTAAAAAGTAATGCGAAAAACCTTCGAGGACTGGGGAAAGAAAGGTGTCTTATTTTTCTTTGGCTTGTTCTATTTTTGCGACGTGGTACAGGCTACGAAATACTGACAAGCTCACATATGTCTTCACCACCGAGAGTCACTTGCCCTTAGCCGGACACGCCCCTCACGTATCGTGTCTCGTTCTTAAAGTTATTTCAAAGCACAGAACCAAACCTAATCAGCGGCCGAAGGCAGAAAGGGGGATGAGCAAACGGATGTCACAGCATCTTTTGCAAGAAACCGGTATCCTTGTGCCTATCGACTCAGGAACGATTGATTACTACTAGAATTAATATCAGGTCAGAATTTGAGTGCTACAATGGGAGGGAAGGAAGAAAAGGAAACCGCCGCGCACACCTGTTAAGACTTTTATAAACTTTCTCGTCCTGGCGGTTTCAAAGAAGGGCGTTGTGGGTGCTATTTAATTTACAGTGTTTGTTGCAGGTGTTGAATTAATCTTACAGCAACTGGAAACGTGGCCACGCCTGCTGAAACTGATATTGCTTATAGGATGAACGGCTATAGTTTGGTATATTCACGAGCGCGTTTTGTCCAGTGAACTGAATGCGTAGTTTTCTTAACGAAGGCATGGGTGGGTCAAGTGAATAGTTCGGGGAAAGTTTGCTTTCTTTAGGGGGGAGGGGGGTTATATTTGTTGATATCAGGAGTTCTGGCCTGGATAGAGTCGTTGTAAAGCTACCTTTTCTTCGCAGTATCGGTTTACCGGAAGCTGAACAAGGAAAAGTCATTGGTGCATTTATGAAATAATTATAGAGATTCTCACGGTCTAACAGTGCGACGATTAGACTTCTGGGAAGGTGGCAACGATCAAGGCCCGCATTATAATTCATGATAATTGAAGGTCATGATGTGGAAAAAGCGACTCAAATGGTGGATGCCATGCAATCCTCAGTCGCGGGTGGGGGCGGCGTACCTGGCCTTAACGGTTGCCCCTGCGACAGAAGGCAAGCATGTCCAGATTGTCCACGGGTTGCTAACGAGACCGTCCCTTTCTTAGTACCCGTTCCCTGTCTTATGATTAGACCCGGGCAAATTTCTCGAGATTGCACCATCATTTTGGGCTTAAAGCTTCCAAAGTCCAACAATTATAATAGCGCATGTTCGCGACGGTTTTTGAAGTCAGTCAAGTTCTTAAACCAGGCCTT